AACTGGTCACCTTACTCTAAAGTCACAAAAAAAAAAAAAATACAGTTCATTTAATACATTCAAGACAACAGCGAAAACAAAGTAGATTTGTATACAGCATATCTATGCAATAATTAGTTCAGAAGCCACTATTAGATCTGAGTCAGTTATCATTTCATTGTTCATTATATTGTATCAGCAGTCACTGGCAAACATTCATACATCGTTCATCTTGCATTTTTGTTTTTCCTGCAAATTCCACCTCAAAGTGTCTTCTTTTCTTAAAGGGCCTGTTTCTGTGCCTGTCATCAGGTCTCTTGTTAGTGTAAACCAAACTCAAGGTGAGTCAACAGATTCCCTATCAAACCCAAATACAATATATTAGACTACCTCCCTGTCTAATGAAAAATGTAAAAACATTATTTACAAAAGAAATGGCACCCACGCCCTACAGCTTCCACATATGGACAAAAAAATATGACAGAAAACAAAAAGGTTTTCTCAAAATTAACCTCACAAAACAAATCTCTTTCCAGGTACTTTAAAGCAGCCACAGTCAATAGAGGAGTTCTGCTCTGTGTTGTGTTCTGTGAAAAATGATCGAGGCATGTTCATCTCGTGGTATAAAGGAGGAGAAATGTTGAACCAGACCAGCAATCCTGATCTCAGCATCAACCTCAGTTTACCATTAGAGAGCTTCATTATAATGATCCAGAGACCTACAGCTGCACGGCTGCAAACCCAGTGAGCAATAAGAGTGTCTTTCTGCAAATGAAAGAGATCTGCCCACGACGGGAAAATAGGCCGACATGAACTCATTTAGTACAATACACTTCCACGCACAGCTTCTGTGTTTACACAGACAAAGACATTTTATGGCACAGAAGATGTTTATGAATAACTCTCTTCTCTTTCAGATTATCAGGATCATTGCGGCATTACTGAGGCTCTGGTTCATCTGGTTCTGTCTGGTCTGCTGGGAATCGCCATCATTGTCTTTCTGGTTGAACATCTGAGGTTCAGCTCATCTCAGAGAAGAGCTGCTTCTTCTATATGATGGTGACTTGCATGAGATGCTACAATGGCAGGCTCAGCCCTTGTTGTCTTGTGAGTCCACACAATGTCTTGTACTTACATTTTCATCATCATCCTATCAAGCTCCAAGTTCAGGTCCTTCTTCATTGTCCACTGATAAGTTTGTGTCAACCACAATCTCTAAGGATTCATCTGTGGCTGGTTCACCTGCTGATTGTAGAAAAAGGAGAGTTTTTGTTCAGGGCTATTAAGTTCAAAGATATTGAAATAAAACCATATATTTACTTATATAGCCAATATTTGTAATGTTTATTAAACAATTTATTCATCTATGGTAATAATAACTGAGTAAAGTCTTTATCAGCAAAAACTGATGGGTTTTTATTTATTAATTTGAATATAGTAATCAGTACATTTGATTCACTTTTCTATGAAACTGATTCATTTACTAATAAAATGGGTCTTTTTATTTACTTTGCAAAAATTGTCAAAATGACTTGTAATTCAAAACTGACTGCCTGGTGTAAACTTCCTGAGATGGTAAGAAATAAAAATAAAAAATCTTGACAAAAACTTGAGTGGTTTGTCATCATGTTACACCAAACCATGTAATATTATTTCTTTTAAAAACATAAGTAATAAAGCAGCAACAAAAAGTGGAAAATTCCTTTATATTAACGCAGCACACTGGACCCTGTTTGTATGGGTTTTGTTTTTTTTATCAGTTTACACCCTGTGTGCCAAGGTCAGTAAGTTTCTAAAAATATATGATAATTTGGCATGGCAAGGTTAGTGCGGGCTGTGAAATGTAAAATTCCTAAGAAACATAATTTTTGTTTATGATACAAAACCCAGTGTCATCTGCTGGACTGACCTCCATTGAGTTGAGATGAGTGCCTTCCCCCGGATCCTCTGTGTCATCATCATCAGCAATATGATTATTTTTCTTCCTCTGTAGGGAGATGGAATCTCTGAGATTTAAAATCGTAATCAACAACCTTTTACTGCAACTGCACAAAGCTTTTAATACCAAAATATCATGCAAGCAGAATTCAATGTACATAATGACATTTTATTGATCTACTATGACTTTAAATGAAATATCTCAAGGACCTTCACAAGTCTTTCATAAATAATTTACATAAATACATAAAAACTCCCCAAAAACAAAACTGCACAGTAGTATGCATAGTCTTCACTAAACACTGCTGTTATTAAGTGCTACAATATTAATACAAAAACAGAAGTGTTGCGTAAATGTCCAATGATGATACTTGCCTTTCTATAGCAGATGATAAGAGTGACAACAATGGCCACTGTAATGACTCCTGAGAGGCCCTCTATGATGCCCCATGTTATTTTGCAATTTTGTTCTGTGCTGACTGTGGTAGTTGGGCCATTTGTCCCAAGTGTCTCTTTGCCTTTGGTGGATATAGCAGGTGTGGAAAGTGGATGGGTGGATGGAGGTTCAGGGTTAATGGTACTGGGCAGTTGCTCTGTATGGGACAAAAATAACTAGAGATATAAATAAGCCTATCAATCAACATTAGAGCGCTATCCTCAGGCTGAATAACGCAAGCTTTGCCAAAAGTGCTCTGCATGTGTTCAGTGATTATAAAGCCTACAAAACGTTTATAATAAACTAATATAGCGATACGATTCAGAATCTTCCCTACCTTAATCACTCTCAGGAGGGTAATAACTTGGCAGGGAGTCAAAATTCCATACCATTACATGGCAAAATGCCTGTGACGCCTTTCTGCGCTCTCTTTCAGCAAATAATGTTATTTATTTATTTAGTCTTAAAGTGTAAAGTAAAAATTCAAAAACAAAGTGAAACGTGAAAAAAAAAAATCTACCTAAGTACTTCCGTCAGCAGGCAATCAGGTGACACACAGAGCCCACGATCTTAGGTACCCAGATAGAAATGTGTTGCCCATTCTCAATGTATCATCAGCCTAAGTATCTGTACTTCGTTACACCACTTGTTATTTGTTAATGGTGTAAAATCAGAGAAAGCTCGCGGGCACAAGTTTTACTAACACGAACACCTGTTTGGCTGATGACCTAGTCTCACACTGGCTGGACCGGACCGCTTACCTGCACCGTCCCCACCCTATACCTCCACACCTCCGAGTCGCTACCCCAAAGGACCCAGAAAATTCCCCTTAACACGCAGGCAGAACATACGTGAAATCTGTTTTAACACATACACAGAACATGAAAACCAAACGCTTCTGGTTCGCTATAGGCTGTCAAATCCATTCATCAATACTATCCAAATAAAGTTACAGTTTTTAATATTTTCATTTAGTATTTTATAGGATTAGTAAGATACTAACCGGTCAATGCAACGGTAAACTTCTGCTGGATCCTTTTGTTTTTGTCATCGATCACTTCGACACTGTAAACTCCTTCGTCGCTGGTGTTGGCAGCAAGAAAAGTTACGGAGAAGTTCTCATTACCAATCTGGAGAGAAAATCTTCCCGAGTTGATTGGTTTGCAGCCATGATTTTGCTCATCGCTGGAACAGTAGCGAAAGACCTCTTGGGTCCCGTTTTTTTGTACCTTTCGTAGACTCACCATCTTCGGCTCAGATGCTCGGACGAAGAGGGAAACGTTTGCCCCCCTGTTCACCTTTACTATCCCATTGTCACTCACAGCACCTGATGAAATTAATATTTATTTAGTTAACTGCAGGGTAACGTTTATCCACGCTTGTTTTAAAGACCCGTTATGTATATAAACATACATAATTTAGCGAATTATCTAAAGTTAAAATGCTTAACTTACCGGCGGTGATAACAAAACAGGTTATTAAAATGAACAAGAGGCACATCTTGAGAAGCGTTCTGTTCGGTTTGTCGCTTGATGTAACAACACACGATTCTAATACCACAGGCAAGATGTGATGTGACTGTCACTGAGGCCATATATATATATGTAAACCATCAGCTGTAGTCTCCGCCTTTGGACCGGTTTGGCCAGCCCAGTTACCGCAAGGGCGAGCGGCGCGAATTTCACAAGTGGAGCACAAGCGTCGCGCGAGCAGCGCTGAAACTGGTGTCTGAGCCGAGTCTATTTTTTCTGTGGCGCTCGCGCTCAATTAAAGTGACACCACACTTTTGATGGACAAAATAAATGATTTCACACAAAAAGTTATTTTAAAAAAAGCACAGATTAAGCATGTCTAGTTTGTTTAACAGGAACTGGAGTAGGCTATGTCAGAAAATGAAGAATCAAAAATATGTAGGCTTTAGAAGATTTACCTATTTAAACTGGTTTTAATTATTCAGTTTGGGTTAAAGAATGGTGTATTATTATTTTTTTTAAAACATTAAAAACAGTACGTACGTTCAATATCGACAATATTTGGATATTGAACATGAGCGGTTTTGTTGTTTACCATTTACATGCGAATCCCTGTGTTAACAAACTTTCAAGACATTAAAACTTTCAAGTTTATAACTGACCAACTTGACAAATTTATAGTCGTCTTTGTAAAGAAATATGTAGCTTTAGTGTGGTGGTGGATGTCATTTCATCTTTTGTTTTTCAGGATACAGATCTGATGTAGCAGGTCAACAGCTCTTTCAGACCGTATTGACACACATCCACAACAAGACAACCCTTTTGAAAAAACCAGCATATGCTGGTTAGGTATGTTTTGACACTGGGATGCTGGTTTAAGCTGGTCCTTTGCTGGTTTATGCTAGTCCTTTGCTGGTTTAAGCTGGTCCTTTGCTGGTTTAAGCTGGTCCTTTGCTGGTTTAAGCTGGTCCTTTGCTGGTTTAAGCTGGTC